AAAAAAAATGAGATCCTGTCTCAAAAAGAAAGGAAGAAAGGAAGGAAGAAAAGAAGAAAGGAAAGAATGGAAGGAATGAAGGAAGGAACAAAGGAGGGAGGGAGGGAGGGAGGGAGGGAGAGAGAGACAGAGACAGAGAGAGACACACAGAGAGAGACAGAGAAAGAAAGGAAGGAAGGAAAGAAGGAAGGAGGAAGGAAAGAAGGAAGGAGGAAGGAAGGAAGGAAGGAAGGAGGAAGGAAGGAGGAAAGAAGGAAGGAAGGAGGAAGGAAGGAAGGAAGGAAGGAAGGAAGGAAGGAAGGAAGGAAGGAAAGAGATGAAGAAAGAAGTCAGTAGGTGACTCAAACCATTTCAAAGGGAAAACTCTGGGTGTGGCCGCAGCAGAAACAATAGGGGTCTCACGGAGGTTGCGATGGAACCTGGATGACAGGAAGAGAAGAAAATCCTGAAAAGCAGGCCTGTCTGCCCTGCTCATTTCTGTGAGAAGGACCAGTGGAGGGCTCAAGAGCCCGTGACCTCTGCCTCCCTGTCTGGCTGCTTCCCTCACCATAGTTGGCCATGAACAGGAAAGTGGCCAAAAAAGCATGAAGTTTGTGGAATATCCTGCATTTTAAAAGAGATTTTATTGATCTGATAGTGACAGTCCATTGAGGATCAATAGTTGAAAAAGTATCACATGATCAGGGACTCTCTGAAAGAAACCCACAAGTATAAAATATAGAATCCAGAGACTAAGAATACGATGTTGAGCATATGTGCAACACATCCTAACTGTCCCTGACTATCCTCCTAGCCAAACATCTTCCATCTTTGGAAGCTTGGCTGCTTGCAAAAGATCACTCCAGCTGGGTTTGTTGACTCTAGCCATCCCATTCTATCTGCCATATGTAATTCTGTCTTAATTGCACAGGGCCTCTGGGAGGGGCCAGGGAAGATTGGCAGGGAGGAGCTCCATCTATGTCACTGAGGGAAAACCATCATCCCTTCTGAGCGAAGACTTTCCAATGGTGCCTTTTGGTAGGGAGCGCTCATACCCCTCGCCTATGCCTCATAAGTAAATTCAACAAACTCATTGGTTCCCCCAGAGTGAACGCTGGTAGAATCATGCCTCAGTTTGTTTTTGAAACCTCAGGAGGAGGAGGCATTGGTTTATATATCCCCCTAGGAAGGGAGTTTAGCAACAGAATCACCAGGCTTCTCTTATTCCAGGAGCTGCTCAGATTTCAATTTTGAGAAGATAAGGATAACTGCTTGCTACTGTCCTAAATTAATTTCTTTCTCCCTTTTGGGATTTTTTCCCTGTTGATTAAGCAGTAAACTAAGCTGGGACACTGGGCACTGGAGAGTACACCTGTTGGCATGAGGTCACAGCGGTGCTCTCAGAGAAGGTAAAACAGGCATAGAAGCTACTAGTGCTTAATTGTACGCCAGCTCATTTTTCTTAAGGTCTCTGTCGTGTACTACTTTTCTCTGAGATCTTAATGCGAAGAAGTATTTGGGGGATGATGATGACTTTGGGGGATACTATAGGATCTTCACAAGGACGTGCCAAGTGGTTAACACTAGAGTTGCGTGTGGCAGGCTCTGAGTAACGTGCATGGAGCCCGGGGATTCAGTCTGACAACCTACCCTTTGCCCAGATCCCAGAACATCTCACCACGCACCCACTGGAATGCCTTGACATGGGAACCCGTCTTCTCTGTCTGCCTGTTCATACTTAGCTACTGCCTTGGGGGCTCCTATATATTCATCCTGACACAATACTGCAGCAGGAACATGGCAGTGTACGATCAGGGCCCACGGCTAGACTACAAAGCTAAGAGTGGGTTCCACTCGTGTCTCAGGTGCCCAGACTTCATTATCTGGCCTGGCCCTCACACATCACAAGAGACCGTGTGTTGTGTTATTTCGTGTCACCCTGAACAGAGCATCCTTCTAAGGCAATGCATGAAAACACAGCTGTTAGTGTCCGTTGATTCTATAATAAAACATGCCTTGCTTGGCAGTTTCTCTGCCTAAATCCATGCCATGTCCTAGCCCCTTAAAATTAAGTTCCCAGGCCTACGGACAGTGAGCTCCTCCTGCTGAACAAATCAAACCTTACAAACAGTATTTAGCATGTTAAAACACTAAGATGTGCTTGTACCTAATTTTGGAAGAAAGGCCAAGAAGTGACTTACTTTCCAAGTAACACAAAGAATCAGCTTGAACAACTGCTTAAAGCCTCGGGAAAGAAGAGTGGACGTGAATGAAAGCTGCTGTGAGTTGGAGGGCAGAGCGGGGTGGGGACAGCCTCACGGTCCTGACTCTATGCCAAGTCCTCTGAGCACTGATCTTTATGGGAAACTAACAATAGTGGGATTCTTTTTCTCCAGTAAGCTTTAAAAGTGAAACTTTGTTACCCCACATCTCATACTCACCTCTGTAAGAGCAGAACTAACAATATTTATGGACTTGGGAGTCAGGAACACCAAATCTTGAAGCATTCATCTGACTCACTGGTCTTGTGGAAGAGACTAATTTGTCCAGGTCTAGGGAAAAGCCCCCATCTTCCACATCCTGAGTTCTCCCTGCTGCCCTGGTCAGGCAAACGCACAAATGTCATAATGCTCTGCCTTCCCTGGGCTCTGGTCTTGCCCAACCCATTCCTCCCTGAGAAACTTCCATTCCAAGACAAATCTGAAATAGAAAGAGGCCATGGACCTTGATAAACAATCTGAAAGACTCGTGAGGCATCTAACGTTTTGAACTATGTGAAATGTGCAAGGTCAAACACCTCAGCGAAAACAACAAAGGTCCAGTGAGGACTGACTGACCTGCTGCATCTGGGCAGCTGCCTGGGTTCATCCACAAGGCTGCGAGTGGACCCAGAACAGTGGCCTATACCCACCTGTGAGGTCTCTGCTCTCAGTTGGAAACACCTGGCAATACCGCATGGTTGGATTTGAATAGATAGAAGAAAGCATATTAAATCAGTTTATACTGCCAATTGTAACATTTTTGCTTAAGCTGATAGCCAGTTGGCCACTAATGTGGCACAGGACAGCTGGAGTGAATAGACCAACGGCAGAACCAGTGAATTGGGCTTAGACTTTTTTTCACCTCTGATATAGATGAGAACCAAGAAAGCTAGCCATGAGTGACGGCTTTTCCTTGGGTGGCTGTCAGGACTGATTCTTTGATCAGAGCCTCAAGTTTTAAAGGAAATGTGTAAGCCTAGGGAAGACCAGTTCTCATCACCATAGACTGATCCATGACTGGTGACGGACCTCGCTGTTCTTCATGGAAATGGGATTGGGGTACCTTCCTCCTCTAGTGCCCTTGTTTTTGATAACTAGGTTCCAACTGGGGTAGGATTCCTACAGTCACCAAAGATACAGGGGAGCTCTGGACAGGGCATTTGGGAGTTGAGGAAAGGTGCCACCACACAGCCTGCACCTGGATACTGTGCCTCCTCCTTAAAGAGGAGATTTCTTCACAGTTAGAAGTAGTCATTTGCACACTGAAGACATACCCTGGATTCCACGACTCTCCTGGCCTCTGGTGATTGGTATGGGTATTTGCACATGCAGAAGGGCTGCTCCCCTCCTCCACATGAAAGAGGCACACCTTTTGGGCCAGGGCTCTGCTCCCAGCTGGTCTGTGAGTCACTACCTGCCTGGTTGCACTAGTCCAGGCACAGGAAGGTTGGATCACCTTTTCCCACAGTTTAGAGCCTGCTTGACTTCCAGCTAGCACACCAGAAGGATGGAGACACTCCGGTCATAGAGAACTCATTTCATTTGTGTGTAAATGGTTACACGCATATTAAACTCACTTAAAGGTATGTCCTTCACATTCATTAAGGCTATTAAAGTGGTGTACTTTAAATGAAATCCTATATAATCAAAATTACCAGATTATTGAGTTAACAGGAAATTTATCTTTGCAGAAAAACTAGGACTTTGATTTTTCAAAATAGGATTAAACTGTTCATATGTATTAACCAAAAATAAAACCTACTGGTTTCTACTGCTTTGCAGTAGAAACCATACAGCCAGTTTCCAAAAACAGAAATGCAGGGGTCTGGCATCAGTGTCTCCGCGCGCAGCAGTTAGCTCGGAGACAGATTGCACCCAGTTAACCAGCTAGCAGAACACAGCTGTTCTAGCTTAGCCTTTTTCTGTCCCAGTTCAGCCACTTGCCCCCATGCTGATTCGAGTGTAGACATCCTCTAATTCCAAGCTGAGGGACATTCTCCAATAACATCGCAATCAATTTAATAAAGGAACTCACCAATGTCAAATTGCAATAAATTTACCAAACATTTTCACTGTTTATGGAGAGCTTTACAGTAAGAAAGTGTCGACAGAAGCAGGCACATCCGGGTACAAAGTGTTGCTGTTGGTTGTTCTTCACTTCTGTTCCTACAGTTCCAACTGCTTTGTACTCTCAGCTGAGGTCCTCCACACGAAATTCACCTTGGATAAGCGTTCTGTTCTTGCCCATTCGACCCAGGACCTCCCAGCGCAGTCCTGGGGGTACGGACTTGTCTAAGAGAAGTGTGATTGGCAAGCCCACCCCAAACATTTATTGTAAACTTTAAATGGAGTCCGGATACGAATGACATAGAGGGGAGACACCTCCTCACACAGAAAGGAGAATACCGGAGTGTCCTAGGGTCTCGCAGATCTCACAAGGCCGGACCAGAAAAGTGTCAAACCACGCGCAGGCACGACGCCAAGCAATGCCCGATTGCTGCCCTTTCGGGTGTCCCAGCCCGGTTGGGCCTGGACTCAGCAGGCCCGACTAGGCTCCCAAGGGCGCGCCACCTCACAGGGCGGCCGACAGCAATAGGGGTAGGAGGCGTTGAGATCGGGGTCCGAGGGCGCATACCCCGGCAGCTCCACCGAAGGGTGCCCGCCACAGCACACCTCCACGCCCGCCTCGTCAAACGCGTGGAAGACGCCCACGTTGATGTAGGACACAGCGTGGTGCGCCGCGAAGCTCGCACAGTCTCCTGGGGTGTTGAAGTCGGACTCCTCCGGGGACAGGATGGAGGCCTCGCTGGGTCGTGGCTGCAGCCGCCGCCCCCTTTTGCCCCGGCGGCCGCGCCGGGTCCGAGAGGCCAGCGACTGAGTGCGGAGCCCGGGTCCGCCCCGCGGCCGTGCCAAAGAGCGGCTTGCCCTCCTCCGGCCGCGCCGGCCGCGCCGGGCCTGCGAAGACTTGTAGTTCTTGACCAGCAGAAGGCTGAGCAGGCCCAACAGGCACTCGAGCGAGTTGAATACAGTGGAGAGCACCAGGCCGCGCTGGTAGTCCTTCAGCTGGCGGCATTTGGCGGATGTGGCGCTGTCCAGGGTGCTGCGGGCGCGCGGCGTGCTGGAGCCTGGGGCTACAGGGCCAGGGGCCGAGCCAGGGACAGCGGCAGGCGCGCGCGGGGGCAGGCAATAGTGGGAGTACTTGCGTTCCACCAGGGACACTGTGTCGCCGTCGATCACTGCTCCCGCAAAGGCGCTGAGAACCCCGAGCATGAAGACCAAGACGCCTAGGAGCAGCAGGTTCTGGCTGTTCACCCTCCCCGAGGGCCCGGCAGCCGCCCGCGTCTCTCCAGGAGAGGGCTCCGGAGCGCCCGTTGGAGATGCAGGGACCCCGAGTCCGGGGCCCGACCCGGCCCCTGACCCGGCGAGGGGCGCCTCCCGGGGCCCGCAGCACAGCAGAACCAGCTGCTCCTCGGC